AATAAATTCTACAAAGAAATCAGTTCAGGGAGAAAAGTGGCCTGTTTTTCATTTCTGTAACCCTCCTCCATGTCTGGCTTCACAGACTGAAGCTGCTCTCCTGCCATTTCTGTATTCAATCCGCTGCTCTCTGTTGTTTTGTTTGAAGTAAACGAGGAAATCCTGGTTTTGAACAGATATACAGTTGAAAAATGAAGAGGCATTTTAGCAACTTTTCCAAACAATTCTGGATATTACTCTTCAGTGTTACACCAAAACTCAACAAGTGGCCGTTTCTCAAACCTTGTGACGGCAACGGGGCGTATGAAACCTCCTCGTCAGCTTTTCTTACTGTGCTACGCTGAGATCTGTTGGTCTATTTTGCCCTTTGAATGGATTTTTGACTGACGCAGAGCTTTATAACGCCATGTATTACTAATCATTTGAAAATGCTGTTTTGCCACGTCATGCAAATCTTTTAAATGGTAATACTTTTTACTGTACAATGTCTAAAACCACATTAAGTGGAATGATCAGACTTTAGGAGAGAAGACTGTATTGGGAAGCTTGGTGGCAGATACAAGTTCTCTAAATTCTGCTTACAATTGTTTTTACTGAAAATATATATTGCAGGTGGTTTGCCTTGAAAACACAGGCTAATTCCATCCATTTAGAAAAAAGAAAAAAGAAAATCTGCCCATGTAGAGCCTGAAGAAGCACAGTAGTCGGCTGTGTCTCGAGTAACGGGCAAAGCATGTTCATGAGGCCAGCAGCCAGCCCAGCCCCCACCTAGGCTGCCCCAGGACTGGGTTCAGGACTACGCTGCGCACCCTGGCACATAAGGACAGCTCTGTATGCCCACATTTTGCCACAGAGAACATTAAAAATTCACAGGCGAGGGCTGAAATTTTTTTTTTTTAAAGAGAGAGTGAGAGAGGAGAGAGAGAGAGAATTTTTAATATTTATTTTTTTAGTTCTCGGTGGACACAACATCTTTGTTGGTATGTGGTGCTGGGGATCGAACCCGGGCCACACGCATGCCAGGCGAGCGCGCTACCGCTTGAGCCACATCCCCAGCCAAGGGGCTGAAATTTAATTAAATAATTTTTATTGCTTCATCAAAGACATTCCTAAGTGGACCTGACATTTGTGGCAGTAAAAAATGAGACAACAATGAGGATAGCCTGGTGCCACTGCTTGATCTAGCCAAGGTGCCGGCTGCTTTCCCACCAGCGTTTTTGTACCATTAGTGCAAATGTCAACACAGTATTTTTTTTTTTAAAAGGCAAAAGCTAATGTCTCAGAATTCAGTCAAAAAGGCCCTGGCCTTGCAGACCTCCCAGGAAAGCCAGCTCTGGGGAGCCCCAGGGGTCTGTGGACCACACGGGCGGCCTGCCGGCTGCAGGCTGGCACTGGAAGGCTCCTGAACAGCCAAGATTGCATTCTTAACCTTTTAATCAGTGTGGACTGGATTTTCCTACTGAGTGAATATCTGTGCCTCTCCTAGTTTAAAAAGCAAGTTCCCATATAAGTAAAACGTGCCCCGCACTTGCATAGTTCTGTTATCCAATGCTACAAAATCTGTAAGTCAGTTATAGTTGGTTCCATTTTTATTTTAAAAACCCCGATGCTCAGAGAAGTTTTGTCCTATGGCAAATAATTGTCAGACTCTAGGATTATAAGTCTGTCTGGCTAAATATCCAAGTGCTGTCTGATGCCCCTTTAAATACCCCGAGGACACATGTTTTAAATAGTCAATGCCACTGGTTCACCAGTGGCCCATGTTTTGAAAAAAAAAAAAAAAAAACCAGGGTACATTGATACATGCAAATCCTGATTTGAAATCACGGACATTTGTTTTGTTTTGTTTTAGGAATTCTCGTGGATGTCCCCTTTACGGAGCTCTTCCAAGACCTGTCCATAGACGTAGGTCTGTGGTTCATGAGCTGAGTTAAGGACAGTGATTCAGGGCCATAGGCTGCAGCTTCTTCCTGGTGGCAATCCACTGTCACTGGTTTATTTGAACTCTACCAACACTGTGACCCTCACGGGTGGACTGAGGCCCTGCTGTCCTGAGGAGAGAACTGACCTCTGAGAACTGGACCCACTCTGCTTTGGCCTTTGGGCCTCCCTCTCCACTGCTCCTCCCTAGGCACCAGGTCACCCAGACCAGGTGACTCAAGAGAAGCCAGTAGGAGGTGCGCTGCAGTGCTACCATGCTCTCCTTGCACGCCTCTCCCCCCAGGGCCAGACTGCGAGGTCCTTGAGCTCCCAGCCTCTGTCCCCAGGACCCCAGGCCTCTGTCCTACCATCTGCTCCTTCACACCCCGCCCACAGGAACTAGGGCCACCAGGCCAGGCTCCCGGGGACACTGACCTGCCCGCCGCGTTAGCACTGCCCACTCTGGCCTTCACCTCTGGCCTTCACAGCCCTCTTCCCCTTCAGGTGCCCAGCGTCTGTGCCCATCCCCTGGTCCTCCCTCGGCCTGCCTTCCTCCTCTCCCTGACTGTGCGAGCACCTGGTGCTGAGGCCTCCTGAGGTCCCTTCCCTCTTGGGCCCTCTCTCCAGGAACGCCCCTCTGGCTGCCAACCCCAGGGCCACCTGCAGACATCACAGGGGCACCCAGAGCTGCCCACTCTGCTCCCAGGTCTGCCTTCTGTGGGGCCTGCCTCCTGCCCAGCCAGAAAAGGGAGTTGCCTGGAGGCCTCCTCCCTGCACCCCCTCTAGGGCCGTGAGCAGCAGCCTGGGCACTTCCACTTCCTCAACATCCCTGGGACGTCCCAGCTCCCAGGTGGCACTTGGGCTTCCTTCAGACCTTTTTCCTCTGAGAATGACCTCCTCTCCCATCTGTCTTCCACCGGGGTATCAGAGTAACTGTCCTAAAACATATCAATATAAACATAACGACAAACACAAAACGAGTATCAATATAAACAATATGAAGACGACACTTTAAGACCTGAAGATCTGTCTGGCCGAAACCTGGCCCAAACACCCAATGCCTAGAGAAGTGCTGGCTCTCAGGGCCACCAAGCCTGCGTGCTCTGGCCTCTCCCCCTCACCTGCAGTGCACTCCACCTAGCTTCTCTCAGTTCCCAGGACACACCTAGCACTCTGACCCTCCCCACCCTCTGACTTGTTTCTCCGTGGAATGCTCCACCCCTCCCCATCTTCTTTTGCTTGGAATTCTTCTCCGGCTGCTCCGGAGCTCTCTGCCAAAACCCTACCACCTCTACCAGAGCACCCGAAGCAGGGAATTGCCTGCTTCCTCTTTCAGACCCTGAACAAAGATGTATCACGGTGCTAATCACACTTTTATTTATGCCTGTCTCCCCACTTTGGTGTGAGTTCCTTAAAGGTGGACACCATGTCTTACCTTTAAATCTCAGCACTTGAGACCTACTTGGTACACAGAGAAATTTAATGTTTGTTAATGAAGGAATGGATGACTTGTTCTGGGTCATGTCTCAAGAGGTCACTTCTACAGATGTGAAGGGAGATCCAGGGCTGCTTTTACCCACCTCATGTGCAAAAGATAAGCTTGCTGTGATCTCAAATGTCCCTTTTAGTCTTTAAAACTATTTTGTGGCACTTATACAGTTGCATAAATCTACATACTGCAGTATTCTCATGTAGTAGCCATGAAACTTTAGCAGCTGAATTGGACTGTGACCAGGTATTTAAAGGTACTTAACAAAAAGATCATAGTTAATAAGTAGTGTGATCTCAGAGAGGTTGATTTCCATCTTATTTATCTTCATTTTACTAACAAAATGAGAAGAGGGAAGGTGTTTTTCATGCTTTCAATATAGACACTATATTTTAATAAACAGTATATTCTTAGAACTTAACACGCCCCAAACTGCAGTTTAAAAAAATACATATCAGGTCTGCTAGAAACTAGACTCACAACTGCCAAAATGAGTCCACTGAATCACTGGGTACACACACCCCCCGCCCCCCACGTTTTTCCAAGGCTCTGGCCAGGTTGCTAATTAGGTAACTTCTAATCCTAATTACCTAGTCAGCCTTAATGGCTTCACACACTGCTCGCTGGTCCTGTAGGGCCGCTTTTCAATTGTTAAAACAGCTGCTGCATTTCCACCGGAGGAGGCTGGTCTGCGCCAAGGGGGAAGCGGTCCCGAGCGCGCTGCGGTCGGCAGCCTTTCGGTGGAAAGTGGGCCACGAATGCACAGTCTGCACGCTCGCGTTCCGCCTCCGTGCAACCTCCGACCTTCTGGATTCAACCCGCTTCCCCATCCCGCCCCTAAGCCAACCCCAGAGCTCCCCTCTATTGTGCACCCGGTCTCCCGGACTGGGAGGGTCCCGCGCGCACGTCCTACTGGATTCCGCAGCTTCGCTAGGGTCTGGGAGGCCTCCCTCTACTCCCCCGGGTGGAGAGGAGGCAAGGACAGCAAAGTGTCCCCCATGCCGCCCGCGAGCCTCCAGTGAGAGCGCTGGGTC